CAGTAGATGGTCCTTGCCAGAAGGAACAAGCTATAGTGTTGTTTTGGGGACCTGTGATCGGCTCTTAGCCTCTCAGGAGAAGCACTTGATTGCCCCAGGTGGCAGGTAGGGCTTTGGAACTTTCATGTAAGTCCTTATTCTCCACTACAGCAGAGGCAGGTCGGGGAGTAAGGCTGGGTGGGGCTGGCTCCACAAAAGCTGGAAAGGTAGCTTTTTCAGCAGGGGTCAAAGATCTGCCCCCAAACTTCTTGGGAAGGTCTGCTTGTGGGGATGGGGCCATCTGAGATTCACAACATGGCTGTGTCTGGAGCGGGTTTTGCTCATCTCTCCCTTCCTTTGCTCCACGGTTTCCCTCCAACATCTGCCAGCAGGCAGGAGCTCAAACTAGCTGAGATCCCCTGCAATGGCACTGAAGGCCAGGAGCTTCCCTGTCCAGGATCCCAGCCTGGTCTGGGAGTGCAGCTTTCCTGTGGGGGAAAGGGTACTCTTGTGCTGCAGCTGGGGCCCACACTGTGCTCTCTTTTCAGTTCTACCCATGCGGGCTCCCTCAGCTCCTGAGATTAGTTAACAAATCTCCATCCATGCCCCGGAGCAGCACAATTGAGTCCTGGGGATATGGAATCTGGGCTGTGGGCCTGTTCCTGGGACCCAAAATTCAATCCTGGACCATGCCAGGAAGAAGCATGCTGGTCCCAAGTTGCCTATGGGTACTCAAGCAGGTTTGATGTCCCTCGACTAAGGGGTATGCCCTGCTCTAACGGAGCAGCCAGGAAAGCAGCACCAGGGAGGGCCAGTGAGCAGGGAGCTCACCGTCTGAGCACCCTTTAGTCCGCTGCAGGTCTTTAAGAGGAAAAGTTTGAGCCCCACTCTCTGTGGAAGCCGCAGTGTTGTGGATGCACTGACAGAGGTGAGGCAGCAGCTCTTGAGAGGCCTGGCTCAGGCGTATCTCTCAGCAGCTGTGGGCAGGGGCGGGGAAGGAGAGGAAAAGAGTGTGAATGGAGGAAGGCTAGCACTCTGGTCATCTCTGTTCTCTCTAGAAGGCAGCCTGCCTGGAACACCCAGGTTCTGGGGTCACGCAGATCCCCTGGGACCCACCAGCCCCCTGTGGCTCCTGTAGTCTGGGCTGGGGTAGGGAAACGTTTGGCAATGAGCAAGACAAAAGCTAGGGCTGAAGCCCTCTGGGGAGGACAACGTACAGTGGGTGGAGAAGCAATATGGCCTGCCATCTCAGCTCAGGTCAGTGCTGACGGGACGTTCCCCAAGGGGGCTGGCAGCCTGGCACTTTGTCTTCAAGAAGCTCCCAGTTCACTGGTGGCAGCAGCTTTTGGGCTCATGAGGGTAGAAAGACTTGCCAGCAGCTCAGGAGCCTGCTGACTTCCAGAGATGTGAGGGTGGGAGAAACAAACTGCTCCACCTACACTTTTCGCTGGACTCAAAGCCTCTCAGGGGTTACCTCTGTCAATTTCTTGCTCCTTCTTGTTCTGCTCTGCAACTTCTTCCTGTGCAATCCCTGTAGGTTCTGGCACTTCTCCCTCGGAATTATACCTGATCTGTGTTTACTTTTTTTCTTTTTCATCTAAAACTTTTCCTTCTTTCTGAGATGACCTGGCACCTGGTGTCTCTGGTCAGCCATCTTCTGGTCAGACTTTAAAAAAAGTAGCTTCGCGAAGTTTTTCTGAAACTTTATTCAAACGGCAATGCCAAAAACATGCCAGACAGAAGTGTTTCCACATTGTTTTACATAACAGACATGATTCTCACTCCTCCCTCAACTTCTGACATCTTATCTACTAGAGAATTAGCAAATTAGCCTCGAGTAGTTTATATCAGAGTTTTTCAATTACAGCACTACTGACATTTTAGATGGGATAATTCTGTTTGAGGGGGTGTTCAGTACATTATAGATAGGATGTTTAGCAGCATCCCTGATCCACTAGATGCCAGCAACACCAGCTCCCAGATGTGAAAACCAAAAATGCCTCCAGATATCACCAGACGTCCCTGGGGGGCAAAATTGTCTCCAGTTGAGAACCACAGTTTTATATTAAGGAACAGAATTTTCTAGCATGGTGCTAATAGTAACAAAAGTAACATTTATTAAGCACTTATTATAGTCCTTTTATCTTTTACTACCAGAACCAGTAGAAAATTATTATACTCTGCTAAAGTTGTAAATCACAGTTAAATATAAGTCCACTCAACAATTGTTTTATGTTGGACAGCAGCCTTTTGTATATGAATCCAATGACTGGATTTCCCAATTGTCATGGTACATGATGCATTTTCTACCATTTTTAGTTTCAGGTACTTAAAGTGAGACAAGAACTGGATTCTGCTTTCATTCTTGCTTTTTATTGATATATGTTTGTCCAGTCTTTTAGTTTTCTTACCTATACCCAATTTAATCACATTTTGGCTGGGGATCAGGAGAGGGGAGAAACTAGCTTTTTTATGTTTCTATTGCATTCAACCTAGCTTCACATAAAACCAGTAGTCTTTTACACTCCCAGGTCAAGGGGCTGCTGAATATTTAAGTAAGTTTCATAATTACCCTAAGTACAGCAGATAGGTTCTATGATCACTGTCATTAGCTTTTTGTAAGCATGCAGTTCATCTGGTGGGACAGAAGCACAAGGCTGGTATTGGAGCCTCCTAGCCACAGCCTTATGCCATGTGATAAGTCAGTATGCCTGTTAGCTAGTTTTACCAGCTGGAAATTGGTTAAGAGGGTACTGTATGTGCCCAACACTATAAAAAGAACTCTACTTGCATTATCTCTTTTAATCCTCACAAGAACCCTAAGACATAGATATGTTAATATTTTTGTTTTGCCTTTGAGAAAACTGAAACATAAATATGGTAAGTGTCTTGCAGAAGGTTACATACCTAATAAAAGGACCAGGATAGGATCCCAAGGCATTCTAATATGTGCCTAACCATTTCATCACAAGTCCGAGGCCATGGGGGTTAGAGCACTAGACTCCAATCTGGTTCATTATCACAAACTACACCTTTGAATCTTGACCTGTCATCTTCAAAGTAAGTGCTGTGGCAAGAAAATATGGGGGACTGATATAAATCCATCACTTGAAACAATTCAAAGATAGTATCAAAGCTAAGTGAGTCCAAAGCATCAATTCCATACATTTAAAGATAACCCACACAAATACTACCTATATTTGTTTCCTATTTCTATGGTAACAAATTACCACAACCATAGTGGCTTAAAACAGCATAAATTTATCACCTATAGGCTAAAAGTCTGACACAGGTCTGTCTCATGGGGCTAAAATGAAGAAGGTGTTGGTAGGGCTGCATTACTTTCTGGAGGTTCTAGGGGAGAAACACTTTCCTTACCTTTTCTAGCTTCTGGAGGCCACTCAACATTCCTTGGCTTGTGACCCTCCTTCCCTTCACATTCAAAGTCAATAGTTGCATCTGCCTGATCATTCATCCATAGTCGCATCTCCCTCTGGCTCTGAACTTTTCTAACTCCCTCCTCCACTTTTAAGGACCCTTGTGACACACTGGGCCTATGTGGATAATACCAATAATCTCCCTACCTTAATAAAATGAACCTTCGAGCCTTAGCACAGCTTTGAGCCACAGTCTGTTCCTGTTCATCTATATTAATTTTATCTGTTTTTAGTAAGCATTTTCACAAGGTGATGAGACTGAAAGTTTGATTTATATGAGAAATCAGTCATGAGTGAATTGCTTAATATATTAGAACAGTCTGTCCTCAAAGTCCATGTAAATGCATCATCTGTATAATTACAGATAATTACAGATGTATCAGGAGTCCTTTAGCTTTCTAACAGTTGAGTCTAATTAGTCTCACCAAATTCCATATGAGGTTCTAACACGTATACATGCGTTACACAATGTATTTAAAAGGTGATATTTTAGTAACCAAATTCAAGATACTGTACAAAAATTAATAATTCTCATTAAAGCTTTCTATTTAGGACTCTTCCTCAAAGTGCTGTTTTAAGTGACTAGAAAACATTAAAGAGATGGTTTCAAAATAAATATCATTCTGTTTTTTATTTGTCATGTTCATCCAGAGCATATATTCAGACAATGGCTTTATTTCTGCTATGTCTCCTAAGGTGGTTGTCCCTCTTTGTGTGATAGCCAATGAATTTAACTGTCTTTTGCTCCTTGAGATTTTTATAAGTTTTTATCTAACATTTATTTAATGGAAAACACTAAATTGAAAGTAGTCACAGTGGTGCCTAACCCACTGTTAACTGATGTGTTAAAAGACTGCCAGTTCCTTTAAAAACTTCTAACTACACTGGAACTCCAAACCGAGTTATGAATTCCATGATTATAAAAGTGGTAAATTCAACAGTAATACAATTAAAATGGCAATGATAGTACTGAATACTATGTACCTGGCCCTTTGTTCATATCCTTTCATTTCATCCTCACAACCTGCAAGGTAGATAAAATCTTTTTACAGATAAAGAACTGGATGTCAAAGGCTAAGCAATTTGTCAAGCACCACAGAGCTGGTCAACACTGGAGATATGAAGCCCACTGTGTCTCATTTCAAACTGGTTTATGTTCACTACCATATTAAAAACATTTGTGTATGTTCTAACATGTTTCCATCTTTATTTTAAAAATGACCCAAAGACTCTGAGAAATTTAAACAGTCAAAAATTTTGTTCTTCAGCATAAAATATTTCAAAACTAGGATTTGAATACAGTTACTTAAATGATTCTTATTAAATCTTTTGCAAAGATAATCAAGGTAAATAAATTTGACATCCATTTTTAACTATCTATTTTAGGTAAAAGATTAAATTAAAACTTCAGGTCCTGGAGCTTGAATAGCAAAGCAAATCTTTGAGTCTGAAAACAAACCAAAGTCATCATTTAAAGATAAATAAATTAAAAGGCATTTAAAATAACTGGGAAGACTTAACTTGCAAAGTTTAAAAACTTAAAAATACTTCTCTACATATTTTATTTACAATTTTCTGTTACAGGAGATGAGTACGATGTATGTGCAATTTGTTTGGATGAATATGAAGATGGAGACAAGCTCAGAATCCTTCCCTGTTCCCATGGTACGAGTAATTACATACTGCTTTGAATTTACATATAGACTAATTCATATTCAGGTTTAATATTACTGGGGAAGAGACAGAAAATAGTTATCACCACTCCATAAGCTAGGCCCTATACTAATTAGCAGTCTCATTAAAGAATGGAGGTGTATTTATAAACATTTACAAATATTCTTCTGTCCCTACATGATGCATACAGAACACCGAATATAGCAGAGATTAAATATTATGTTCTCAACCTTGGCATATTAACTGAAGATTATAATTTGTTTCAACAGCTTATCACTGCAAGTGTGTAGACCCTTGGCTAACTAAAACCAAAAAAACCTGTCCAGTCTGCAAGCAAAAAGTTGTTCCTTCCCAAGGCGATTCGGACTCGGACACAGACAGTAGTCAAGAAGAAAATGAAGTGTCAGAACATACCCCTTTACTTAGACCTTTAGCTTCCGTCAGTGCCCAGTCATTTGGGGCTTTGTCAGAATCCCACTCACATCAGAACACGACAGAATCTTCAGACTATGAGGAAGATGACAATGAAGAGACCGACAGTAGTGACGCAGAAAATGAAATTAATGAACACAGTGTCGTGGTCCAATTGCAGCCTAATGGTGAACGGGATTACAACATAGCAAATACCGTTTAACCTTCAGAATGTGGTTGGTATTTTCCCTTTAAAATGTTTATTTAGGTATATACTGTAATTTGATTTTTTTTTTTTTGCTCCCTTCAGAGATTTCTGTAAAAATAACTTACTTTTTAATATTCTACAGTTTAATCAGATTACTGAAACAGGCTTTTTGATCCAGTATTTATCTGCAGGAGTGTACTTCATTTCACCAATAAGTAATAATAGACTGGTGCTGTAACTCAAGCATCAAATCATTTTTGGAATGAAATATAGCCAAAATATTTTTTTTAAATCCTCAATATAGTTTGCAATTAAGACCTAGATCAGAATATGCAAATGTTTTGTGTTTCACACACAAGGTCAGTGCTGTGGCCACCTAGCATGAACTAAGCCAACTTCCACCTCCATGAAGTTACCTAGAGTTGTTGAGTTGGAATGTGTTTGTTCTGCTGTTTCCCCAAATTGCCATCATTAGTGAGAGGCAACAAGGTAATTTAGCATTTTTCTTATCAGCACAAAGAAACTGAAAGCTTTTTCCTTCCTGTTCTCAAGTAGTCTTATCCTGATAGGAACAGTCTGTAGTAGTGCAGATTTCAAAAGTTTTTTTTTTTTAAGGTTTTTAATTCTATAGTGTTATGTATGAATTTGATTCAGCAGCTAAAGTAACGGCTCTGGACTTTACTTACTGAATTTCAGTACCCTTAAGGGTTTTATGTTGTGATCAAAGCAAAAAGAAAATGCTGCATAAAGATACCAAACTTCAGCAACTGTTAATACTCAGATCATATACCTCTTAATAAAGAGCAACTTATGCTAATTAGCCCTGCTAAACTATGTACAGAGGAAATTGTTCAAGTATTAAATTTAAAAGTAAAAAAGTGCTTATGTTTAACAGAACTAATGATGTATTGAAACAATGTATTATGAAAAGCTAAATTATACATCATTGTAACTATGTAGAAAATGTAGACTAATGTATAATCAAAATGCTAAGAACTTTTATATGGCCTTGTAAGAGGGGAGTCTGAATGTTAATAAACATGTTTTCCACTTTAAGAACCAGTAAATGTTTTACTGTAGTATTTTTACTTACCACATTATCCTTATTTATATGCTATAAAGGGATAATGACTGAAGTCACATAAACAAACATCACCTTAGAATTTTACACAAGGTAACTGCTCACAGGCAACTGGGTAATCCGCCAAAAAGTTAAGACTATAGCCCAAATCATTCAAAAACAAATAGTGTACATTACCCTACTGTAAATTATGGTAAATCTTCATAGACTGCTATATAGCCTTGAAAGAATAGATATATAGATCTGATACAGGAAATTGTTAGTGAATAAAAAACATGGTCTAGAATAAGCGTACCAGGTATATGGAGCCTTTTCTTGTGAAAACTTCATTTTAAAAGAAAGCGAGGGGAAATTTCATTCTAAATTATTTTTTTTAAATGTTTATAATCAGCAAAAAAAAAAAATGGTATTTCTACTTTGAAAAATAAAAGATTCAATATCTACTGCCTGATATCACTTCATCCCTGCTCCTGTTTTTTTTTTTTTTAAAAAAGATATAAAACACAGGCCTCAGAAATAAGACATGAGAGTTTACCATGGTAGTTGAACAGTTTGCAATATGACATAATTGTATGGCCCTAACCTTTTTAAACCTGTTTGATCATTTGCATAATTTAACCTAAGGTAGAGTGTGGGACAAAACATTGTGCTCAGTGTCAGGCACATAAATGCACAGTAATAGCTTTCAAAATGATCATTAAATAAAAAAATCATACCTAAAACAACATTTTAAGGTAAAAAGGGAAAGTTAAAAGTCATAATACCATGTAACATTGTAATTATATTAGATGTTGTATTCCCTCAGTCCTTAATCCACAGTTCAGATCAAGGAGCTGGTTCCTTTATGTTTCTGGAGCAAAAAAAACAAATTAGTTTTAGAATTCTAAATTATTACTTTTAGTTGTAAAAAAAAAAATAATGAAGTGTCTTATTTAACAGCACTGGCTAACAGTATTACTTCTCTTAATATTCACTTGAAATCTTCTGTAATTTCACAGTATAACCATACAGGTTTTTAAATAAGACAGTAAAATTAAAATCCAATTTCTATTAAAAAAAAACCCCTAACTTAAAATTTTTCCGATTATAAAAGTAATATTTAAAACATTGGAAAGAAAAATATAGTCACCTGGAAACCTATCCCAGAGAAAAATTTATCTTAATATATTGGCTTCAGAAATACATCATATGTAAAACACGTGTATTAGATACATTTACTCTGTATGCAATGCCTGTTTATATCTTCATATAACTTAACATTCATTGGTGAGCATTTACTTGTGTCATTCTTCAATGACTATTTTGTCCTATGGACATATGTTTATTCACCCCATACGCCTTAAAGCTGAACCGTATACAGTTTTCTAGGTTTGGTTAACATTAAGTAATGCCATGTGATGGACATTCTGGTATACAAATTTGTACAGCTTCCTCTCCATAAGCAAAATTCTGAGAACTAAGTACAAAGTACACATGTATAGATTTCCATCAATGTTTTTCTATTGAAATTATATATAAAAGACCCATGAGTAGATTAATTATTTACTATTTTAATAATGTTTACCTTCTCCTACACCCTTACCCACACTCTTAACACACAAACACACCCATCCCCTTGCCTAGTTATAGGTTAATTCATTAAGGGTTTCACAATTTTGGTTATTGCTTTTTATAATTAGTCATCCTAATAGTTCTTTACAACTAAAGTGTGAATGTATGTTACTGTGAAATCTCAATCATCACAATCCAACCAAATTTTCATTTGCCCTTTTGTCCTTAACCAGGATTTTAACACATCAAGAAGCTAATATCAGGTTTTTTATTGTTTTACAATTTCTAGGATATGTCCAACTACCAAAATAGCCCCAAATCCCTATCTTCCACATGTACAAATCCAGAACTAATGCCTGACAATTTGTCAAAAAAATTGTTAGTTACGCTCATATATTTTATGTAAGACAAAGAGATTAATTCCTATTCTCCAACCCATTGTTTCTCAAGGGGTAGCAGATAGGCCACTTAAAATGAACCAGACTGACCCAGTGATTGTTTCTAAAAAGGGATTTCCTGGGCTTATGGAATGTCCATCTCCAGGGTGAAACCCCAAAGTCCAAAATCTGCATTATAACTAGCCCCTCAGTTTCATTTAAGCCCACTAACTTCTGAACACCCCTGCTCTAAGCTTCTGCTTGACAGCTGATGGTAATGGATTGATCCAAGTAGTTCTAAATTTACGTATTTATTCAACTTCAATACATACCAGGGATCTTATGACCTCTGGGATTAAACCTATTACATAGCTATGGTCAACATGTCACTCCAAAGCCAGAAAATGCAACATCCTATTTCTATTATATGCTGCCTAAGGAGTGTCTTCTGCTCTTATGTGGGAGAATCCCAGCTGGCTGACTTCAGGCTGCCAATACAGCCTCCAGATCTAAAGTCATATGACATTTCAACACAGAAGAATCCACATAGTACAGAAACTCTTCTTGGTATAGAGGTCCTTACTGCTCACTAGATTTCATATCTAGAGACCAGCAAGAAGAGGAAAATATTTATTTCTAACAGATAAGTCAGTTTTCCTCACATACACCTGAAGATGACCCTGAAATGACTAAAAGCCATGTGTAATAGATGAAAACCCATTAAAAAGAAATTCCCAGGCACTTATTTTATTTATAATACTACATGAAATGAAGCAGGCCATCAGCTGAATGTTTTTATTTTAAAATGTTATGCTTGCAGCAGACTTTGGCCTATTCTGTATATTCCTATTGTGTCAAAAACCAACTGTAACAGTAAGCCAACAACTTATATAAACAACAGGAGTCTGGAGTATTTGGTTGGAATAAATTTATTTCATCTGTCTGTAAACAAGGTGTTTAATAGTTATGGCATTTTTTTAAATGCATATTAAATCAGATGAGTTAGACTGTATCCCAGATGTAACAAAGTGCAGGGAAAGAAATGGACAAATCAGCAACAGGATTTGTTTTTAAATCTGTACATTATCCACAAGGCCCAAACAATAGAAGCAAATACTAGAATGTCCCTAAGTAGTGCCATTCGAAAGAAACCCTTAATAGGTCAGTTAAAATCCATCTCACAATAGCAACAGTTCATTTTAACAATAGTATGGCACAGAATACATATGAAAAAAATTCATCACAAGACAGCCAAGTCCACAATAATGCAACTTCATATAAAAACTCAAGCTGCAAATAAAAATTGGTCCTATGAAGAACAAACTGGACACACTCCAGATGGTTATGTTGGGATACCTAATGTCCATAATGGCAGCCTTTTACAGTTTTACTAAGAGTAGAGCTGGTGTGCAAAGAAAAAGACAGGAACAAAAAACTGAGCTATTGCAATGATGGAATGTCCCTGGGGATTCAATCAGTATGGTTTCCGTAAGGTCATGGGAGGAAGTGCTTTTTGCTCTTGTTTTGCCATTGCACTCTTCATATGTCTTGTAGACACAATGAAAAAGGGTTTTTCTCTAGCCAAGTGCAACAACAATACTAAAAGCAAACTACTGCAGCTCTCAATAGCTCATCAACAAAAGGGATATTAATTGGTAAAATAAACCAAGCACTGCATAAAAGAAGATGGAAGCAAACCAAATGCCTATGTGCAAAAGGAGGGGGCGGGAAAAAGAGAGGAGTGAAGTAAAGATGCATGCACTTTTTCCTCCCAACCATGCGCTACAAAAGGAAGACTAATGAGCCAAGTAAATGCTCAAAGTGCTGAAAAGACATTGATCAAATTAGAGATTGTACAACCGGCACCTTGCTTAATATTAACTTATTTTAGTAATCAATATCCCATTAATTGCTAAGACAAAGTGATGCCCAACTTTGCATGCCCCCTCCCCCCAATTTCAAGGTATCATGCAAATCATTGTGCTGCAATTATGTTGCCAGATAAGGGTTGGTTACATACAGTTGTTAACATACAAATGATCCATTGGGCAAACAGGAATCATGACATTAGAAAATAGGTAAAGAAAAATTAGCTACCATCTATAGTTTGGTAGCATTGTGACCGTAATTGGGGTGGTGATGAAGACAGTTGCTAGGTAGATGGGGAGAGGCTGCTTACACATCAGACCTCCTCAGGTATAAAGCGAGTTCATATGCTTTCTTGTTAAGTGTGCCTCCGTGGACACCTTCCTTTCCCATGACTATAACCAATGCTGGAGTACACAAGGAAACAAAACAAAAGTGAACAGAATTATTTAAGGGGGGGAGGGCAGAAAGAAAGACACCTTTCCCCACCAACAGAGGGATACAAAGGAGACACAGGTTCATACCCCATCACCCTGCATTGCTAATAAAATTTCCAGAATTAAGACTTAAGCTTACGGCTAGGAAAGTTTAAGAGCAATTTTCCCCTAATACTTAACAGTGTGCCTAGCAGCTAGAACCCAGAGTCTCTCAAGTATTTTGCCATTGAGTATGCCTTCTTATTCAATCCGCCTCCATGGACCCCTTCTTTTCCCATTACAAAGACCAAGACTGAAAGAGAAAGAAGAAAAGTGTTTCAAAAGAAGTGTTAATCAAGAAAGTCACATAAGTTTTAGCAGACGGAACCCCGATTAATAAGTTAACATTAAGTTAGTTTTCCATGAACTGTCAAGCACTGAAGTCAATTAGGTCTCCAAAAAGAAAAACTTTCAAACTAGTAATATACTAAAAACAGAATATAGTTAACAACTGACGGCATCCTGGAAGCCCAATGAACAAAGCAGCAAAGTTTTATATAACTATCTTTACACTAGCTGGGGGGAAAAACATAATCATTTATCTTCTACTTTAGGGCAAAAAATTTCTGGTTGATGTGACAAATACATATTATTTCTTGCCCCAAAAATATAAACTTAAAAAAATTGGGGTATTTATTTACAAATTCTCCCCAAATTTAACATGCTTGATAAATACAAATAAGTCTTACCAGCGAGGCTAAATCTGTTTGT